TGATCTGCCTCGCCGGGGAAGAGCGCAATGATGGTGCCAACTTGGGCCAGTGAAGCAGCGTCCTCCACAACTAGATTGAAGAACAAAACGACAACAACTTGTCTGTTCCCCTTCCCCTAATTCCCCAGCACTGTTCCCATCCCCCCAATTACCCAATAAAAATCTTAAAAAAAAAAAATTACAAGTAAAGATAATATCTGTTAAGTAAAATACCTTCTATATTTTTCACAAATGTATCTTTATTAACAAGCTGAAAGGACAAGTTAAAATTTTAAATTCATAGACTCCTCATGATTTCATGTTGGAATGTAGCAGCAAGGGGAGAGAGTGCCTACGGCCTGTGCTTTTCTCCGACTCTGTTCCGTATAATGAGGGGCCTGTCATGCATGCATGTGATTACCTCACCTCGCTCATCCAATCTGTTTACACACCCCTGCCAACAGCTGCTACTTGGCCACCCCTTGGCTTATAGGTGAACAAACAGCAGACTCCTGTCCCCTCAGGAGTCTGAATCCCATGTAGATTTGGGAAGTGGGCTTGGGGCCATTTGTGTAAGGAATTCCAGGGTGTCTAAGGGTAGGAGTAAATCTAGGTGGGCACAGTCCCTTGAACTCCTCACATTATGATGATGGGCAGGGCTCTAAAGAATGAAGTTGGGGAGCTGTCCCTTTTGCCAGGTCAAAGAGTGCTACTGCCCAGGGTGCTCAGGAGAGAAATCTGCAGATGATCTCAACCCAAGAATCACAAAACATCTAAGGAACACAGACACCAGGAGTCATCCACAAAAAATAAAAAAAGTGGAAGAATAAACTCTTGAATAAACAAAGCAAATGGAGCAATCTGAAAAGGACTTAGGAAGTACCTTTTATGTCCTCAAAGAGAAAAAGGGGAAAATAGCAACAATGAAAACAAGAATGGGAGCTGTGAAAACAAACCAATTGAAATGATTGGAAAGAACAGTATTTAGCTTTAGACTTTAATAGAAAACTATGAGTGGAAATTTCTAAGTTAAAACATTTATGGGTAAGCCCTAAAAGAAGGGGAAATATTTTAGTAATCAAAATACATAAAAGTGACTTAAACTTGCCTATTAAAAAACATTCTTGGGTTGAATAAAAACCAAGCAAAAACAGCTTGCTATTTATAAAATAGCACTGAAACTTTGAAACTTTGAAAATAAACAGGAAAAATATACTGATAGCTCACCAAAGAAACTGATGTAACAATGTTAATATTAGACCAAAGTTAATAAGAAAAACACTAAAAGGGAAAATGAAGGACATGAAATAGTTATAAAAGGAGTAAAATACTATAAGATGTATTTGTCATGAACTTGTATGTACCCTTCATAGACTCAATATATAAAGCAAAAATCAACTGAATCATGAGGAGAAGTGGCCAAATCCCTATTCATGTGTATTTTAATGCTCCTCTTTCAGATGAAGCTGTCAAAAGTTGGTAAAGATTAGGCAATTTGAACAAGATGATTCAAGTGCTTCACATAAAAGAGTTTGTGTGTGGTAGGCCATGGCCAGACCTGCTGTAGATCTGACAGTGCATTAAGGAATTGAATGTAGAAATACTTGGCTGTATCATTGCAAGGAAATAATAATGGTTCTGGGCTCTTTTGACCTGGCAGATTCCTCACTCCACATTTATAGTCATTTGATTTAGGAGAAAAATTCCACTGGAATTCAGTGGGGCAAAGGAGATCTTTTCAATAAATGGCGATGAAACAATTAGATATCCATGTGCAAAAAAATAAACTTTGATTCTGATTCCTATTTCAGTGCAGTTCCGGTAAAGAACTCAACAGGGTGTGTGTGTGTGCGTGCAAATTGATAACCTGATTCTAAAATTAATATGGAAATGTGAAAGTGTCAAACGTAGCCAAGGCAAATGTAAAGAAATAGATGTAAATGACTATAAAGCTGTAGTAATTAAAGGGTGTGGCATATTCCCAAAGATAGACAAATAGATCATTGTTACAAAATAGAGTCCAGAAATTCACTCACAGATAAATATCATCTGACTTAAGACAAAGAGGACACTGCAGTGCAGTTGGGGAAAAAACAATCTTTTCAATGTATGATACTGAATCAATTAGATAATCATCTTGAAAAAAGTGACTCAATTCCTACTTCACAACATAAACCAAAATCAATCCAGATGTTAAATGTGAAAGATGAAACAATAAAATTTTTAGAAGGAAACATAAGATAATATTTTCATGATGTTGGGTAGGCAAATATTTTATTAAATAGGACGAAAAATGCTAACCAGAAAGAGAAAAATGAGAAATAGATCACATTAAAATTAAGAACTTCTAGTCAACAAAAAGCACATTAAGATAGCGAAAAAGCAAGCCACAGATTGGGAGAAGATATTTGCAATAGGTATTTATGACAGAAGACTCATAACTACAGCACGTAAAGAAATCCTAAAAATCAATAAGAAATAGACAACCCAATAGAAAAATGAGCAAATAATGTGAGCAGGCACTTAACTAAAAAGGACTTTTAAATTGCCAGTTAATATATGAAAGAGCATTCAACTTGATTAGTTGCATCAGGGAAATGCAAATTAAAACTTTGATGTGATATTACTACACATATACCAGGAAAACTAATACTAAAAAGATTGACCTTACCAAGTGGTGCTAAGGATTTGGAGCAAACAGAATTTCACATACTGCATGTATACATTGCAACCATTTTTTGAAAATTGGTAGAATCGTCTAAAGCTGAACATACTCATAACTATGACCCAGGAATTTCATTCCTAGCTATATACCAAAGAGAAATAAGTACTTGGTTCTACTAACAGAAATGCATGTGAATCTTCACCAAAAGACAAGTGCAAGAATATTCATAGCAGCACTATTCATAATAACTCCAAACTAAAAACAACCCAGATGTCCATCAACCATAGAATGAATGAATAAAATATAGCATATTAAGACAATGGAATACTATATAGCAATGATAATGAAAGTACAACTACATGTAACCAGATGGATGAATCTCACATATATAATGCTGAGCAAAAGAAGTAAGATAAAAAAGAGTACATACACTTTGATCCCATTTATACAGAGCTCAAAACCTATCAGAACCATGAGTAAATTAATATGTTAGGAATCGGGATGGTGGTTATCCCTGAGGCAGGAAGAGATGGGAGGTAGTATGATGGGCAATCTAAGGTTCTAGTAATATTCTGTTCCTTGATCTGGTTATGTGGGATGTTTATTTGTGTATCTTTCTGCCTGTATGTTATACATTAATAAAATGTGTACATGAAAATAAGTGAAAAATAATGACAGTGGAAAAGGTTGACACTGTAAGCACTAAGAAAAAAAAACCATTAAGTGCTTACTACATGCCAAGAACTGTTTCAAGTGCTATACATTTTTAACTTATTTAATCTTCACAAGCTAAGTGAATAATGAAATTTAAATCAGAAATTAATACTATAGATCTTTGAAAAGGCAAAAGAAATGGTCATTAGGACCATAAAGTAATTTTTTAGATAAAGGTTAATAATATAGCCAAACCTCTTAGAGGAAACATTAAGGCAAAAGATGGAAGATGCAAATAAAGAGCATTAGGAGTGGAAGAGGGACGTAACTACAGAGTAAATTATTTAAGAACCAAAAGAGAATACTATGCATATTTTTTGCCCTATATTTTAAAATTATATAAATTATACAGTTTTTAAAGAAAATATAAAGTACCAAGTTGTTTTCAAGAAGAAATAGCAAACCTGAATAGAAGAATATAGAAATTGAGTTGGTAAAAAAAAAAAAAAAATCCTTTTAAGAGCACCAGGCCTAAACAGTTTTAAAGGTAAATTTACCACTCCTTTAAGGAATACATAGGCTCTGTTTTACACAAATTCTTTCAGAAAAAAAAGAGAGAATAAAAGTTAACTTATTCATTTTATGAAGCTAGTATAGCCTTGATTTGAAAACTGAAAAAGGATATTACTAGAAAGGAAAATTACATCTCACATATGAAGAAGGCCATTTCACATATGAAGAAAATGCAAAAATTCTAAGTAAAATACCAGCAATCAAATCTTTCAGTACTTAAAAAGGGTAACTTATCATAACAAGTGGGTTAATCACATAAATTCAAGTTTAATACAATATCAGAAAACCAACCAATGTAGCTTACTATTTTAACAGGAAATATAGGAAAAATGCTTCAATAGATATGGAAAAAGTGTTTAATAACATTCAACACTCATTCATGATGTAAACTCTGGGATCAGAAGGAAATTTGAGTAACTTAATAAAGGGTATCTACCACAGCCTTCAATAAACATAATACTATAGGTGAAACTTTAGAAGCTTTTATCCTTAAAGTAAAGAAAAAGACAATGATCCCTTATCACCACTATTACTTAGCAATGCAGAGAAGATCCCAGCTCCGAGTTTATTAAGTTAGGCTATGACCCCTCTTCCTCAGGGACATTTGGAAATATGGGTGGCATTTTTGTGTATGGTAATGATTAAAAAGTGCTCTTGGCATTTAGTACATGGGGTGGGGTTTAGGGGGTAGGCTGGCATGGATTTTAAACATCCTATCCTCCAAGGGGCAGCTCATAAAACAAATAATTGTTTGTCCAATATGGCAATAATAGCACTCTGGTCAGACATACTGAGTCAGTGCAGTAAAATAAGAGAAAAATGAGGTATGAGGATTAGCAAAAAGGAAAACTATTTACAGACAATGCACTAATTTAGAAAGTCGAATGAAATAAATTATCAGAATTAAGAGCTTGAGTTCAACAAAGTAGCTGATTATGAAATCAGCATATAAAGTAGCTTTCCTATAGATGAGCAATATCTAATTAGAAATATTGAAAAAAAATCATTTTTTAATGCCAACAAATAACAAAGTATATAGGTAATCACTTAATGAAAACATGTGCAAGGCATTTATGAGAAAGATACAGATTGTGACCTTCTGCAAGTTACTTTGCTATTTCAAAATTTAGATTTGTCCAATATAGGGCATTTCCACGTGTGATTATTCAGTAGTCCCATAATATTCTTCAAATACTTTCTAGCATCTTACATGCAACTAAAATGTCTTCTGGCTGAATTAACAAGAAGCAGTGCAAGGTTACAGCTGTGAGGCACATCTGGAGGATGTTTCCTAATACCATTTCATCTTGTCATAACCTTGAATTTGAAGAGGACAGGACAGGAACTGAAAGGGAGTAAATGAAATACTGGTAGGTACATGAGTTTTTCCCTGTGTTTCTAAAGTATTTTGCTTCATCCTCCAGGTCGAGGTCTCCCAGCAGGACAAGCTGAGGTAGAGATGATAGAACGTGCCCGGGAGAAGCGAGCTTGGGAAGCCACTCTGCCCTCTCTGAGTGACACCGCCCATGCTGAGAAGAGGAGGAGGATGATAAATGCGATGGAGAGGAAGGAGTGGGCCTTCAGAGAGCAGGAGATTGAAAAGTAGGTTCTCCATCACCCAGACAGCTGCTCCTGCTTGATGGGGAGTAATGTTAATACTTTTTATCTGTAAAGCATTTTCCCAAATGTATAGGTTTAAAAATAATCCTCAGCCTGTAGCCATTGGAAATTGGGCTTCTGGTTCTTTCAGGAATAATAACACTATAATTTTCTCTCCATTAATATAAAAATGTTTAATGCCCTCTTTGTGTGTGAAGTTCAGCGTGGAACCCAGATCTGAGTGATTCCTCAAGGCACCTCTGATTCTTCTCTTCCCTTTTCTCTTTAGTATCTGGTCTAGACTATCACAGAATCCCACTGAGTTTTGCAAACTGTCTTTCAAACTGTTCCCTTTCTGTTCATTCCCAGTGTCACTGTCCCTAGGCCTTGGCTTTCTTTATATGCATCAAACAGTCTCCTAGCTGATCCTCTCTCTTATTGCCCTGGTATTGGATTTACAGTCAGGACACCTTGGGTTCTCGCTACAGCTCTTGGGGCTTTTTCTATTTAAAAGCCAAATTGTGGAATTTTTCAGTTAAAAGATGAGCTCACAGCACATAAATAACCATATGCCTAGGTACTTCTTGTTGAGTTTTCAATCATTTTCACTGATGTATTTTCAGTAATGAGGTCATCTCTGGAATATGTAGAAATGATGAGAACCAAAAAATGACAACTCCCTAGCAAGAAAGAAAGGATGAGAACTCACCGAGGTTGTCCCTTATTCCAGGCTGTACTAAGGCACTTTATTGCTCGGAGTGATGCTGCCAAGGCCCCTTACAGCATGCTTACATCCAAAAAAGTTAGGGACAAAGAGAGTCACGGACTCAGTGTGGTTCTGAATTCAAAATATGTTTCTTTTTTTTGCAATACCTTCTGATTAGCCCTGAATCAGGACTGTGTGATGTTTTGGTAAAAGCTTGCAATTTAATAGAAAATAGTGTTTGGAGCAAAGTAGGTACCAGATATCCAATCCTGTCTGCAGAAATTTAAATTTATTGCTGCAATTTGGAGAAGTATATTCTTGTCAGAAGGACATAAAAAATATTTTAAAAGTATCTGGCCAGAATGCAGACATTATCTGAGAAAGTAAGTTTGTTCAACTGAGGGTAATTTTAATAAACGTGTTTTGAGCCCCTCCTCTGTGCCAGGCTCTGTGCTGTGAGTTGGGGAAACAGGGATGAATAGAAAACTGCTATGTATGCCCTGACAGAGCTCCTTGTGGTCCACTGGGGTGGGGGTGGGGAGGCTGGGTGGGCATGACACAAAAGACCTTTAGATCAACAACTCTCAAGCAAGGCCTGTCAGGTGATGTGCTGCTCTATACACAAAGTGCCAGGGGAGCCCAGGGGAGACAACAGTCAGTTCTGTTTGAGGTGGGCGGAGATTTGGGAAAACTACTGAGAGAAGGTAGCCTCTGAGCTGGGTGTTGCAGAATGAGTAAGAAGCCATCAGGTTTCACAGATGATATTATCAGTGATGATGATGATGCTATTGATGTAGCATGTAACACATATAGAGTGTTTATTATATGTTGAAACCAAGTTTCAGTAATTCTCAAAGTGTGGTCCAAAGATCAGCAGCAGCAGCATTATCTAGGAACTTGTTATAAATGCAGATTCTCTGGCCCCACCCCAGACCTGCTGAATCCACTTGGGGTGGCAGCAATCTGTGTCATAACAAGCTTTCTGATCACCTGATACATGCACAAGTTTGAGAACCACTGTTCTAGCACGCTGTATACATTAAATTATTTATTGCTCACAACAACCTAGTGGGATGGATACTATTATTATACCTATTTTATGACAAAAGACAAATTGTTAAAGTTTTCAATTAAGAGATGAGCTCACAGCACATAAATAACCATATGCTTAGGTTCTTCTGGTTGACTTTTCAATCATTTTCACTGATGTATTTTCAGTGAGGTAAGTGATAAAGCTGAGAACTGAACCTAAGGTTTCTAACTCTACAGAAAAAGGTGACTGTTGCTTTGTGGCTTATTTTTAAAAGCGTCTGTCCTTATGAAAAAATTGTTCAACCTCACTAATCATTAGAGAAATGCAAATAAAACCACAATGAGATACCACCTCACTCCAGTCAGAGTGGCTATCATCAATAAATCATTAAACAACAAGTGCTGGTGAGGTTGTGGGGAAAAGGGAACCCTGGTGCACTGTTGGAGGGACTGCAGATTGGTGCAGCCATTATGGAAATCAGCATGGAGGTTTCTCAAAAACCTGGAAATGGAACTACCTTATGACCCAGCAATTCCACTCTTGGGTATCTACCCAGAGAAACCCAGGATGCTAATTTGAAAAAATATATGCACCCCTATGTTTATCGCAGCACTATTTACAATAGCCAAAACTTAGCAACAATTGAAATGTCCATCGGTAGATGGCTGGATTAAGAAACAGTGGTACATTTATACAATGGAGTATTACTTCACTATAAAGAAGAATGAAATCTTACCATTTGCAATGATATGGATGGACCTAGAGAACATTATGTTAAGTGAAATAAGTCAGAGAAAGACAAATACCATATGACCTCACTGATATGTGGAATCTAAAAAACTGAATGAACGAGCAAAGTAAACAGAAATAGTCTCAGAGACATAGAGGAAAAACTGATGGCTGCTAGTTGGGAGGAGGTGGGGATGAGGAAGAAAGGGAAGGGATTAGACAGCATAAATAGGTAACTACAATATTGCCCCAGGGATATGAAAGACATTTGGGGAATATAATTAATAATGTTGTAAATATTTTGTAGGGTGTCAGATGGTCACATGTCTTGTTAGGGAGACCACTTCATGGATGGCGTAGAGACTTAATCACTGCAATGTTCCCCTGAAGTTGATGTTGTATAATATTGTCTGTCAACTATAATTGAATATATATATAGTCATGGGATGTGGAGTAGAGTGTGGGAGTGGAGTCAATGGAATTGTAATAGATATGTATGATATCGAGGGAGCGGGAGTGGGGAGGCGGATTGTCACTTTGAGGGGTAAAAAGCATAACTATTGCACTGTATTGTACACTGAATCTAATTTTAAAAATTAAATTAAAAAACAAACAAACATCTGCCTTTCCATATTCACTTGTCACTACTTCCCCACCCTCCATATGTATTCAGTTTGAGAAGTTCCACCAGTATGAGCTTCGTCTCTCTAGTCTTTTTTTTTTTTTTTAAAGATTTTTATTTTTTATTTTTTTTTTATTGGGGAATTGGGGGGATGGGAACAGTGCTGGGGAATTGGGAAAGGGGAACAGACAAGTTGCTGTCGTTTTGTTCTTCAA